CTTCTCATGGATCATCCAAATTCAAACTGTGCTCTGAACTGACATAGTGCCCATCTCTTGGGTCTACAAACCCATCTTTATAATGGGTTGAGTGTAGGTGTCATGAATTTTATAGTCCTTGCAATGCTGTGTGTGTTTTATCAAAGGTTTGAATTCTTAAAGAAGACTATTAGATTGGTAATTCTATTGAAATATATAGAAGAGTTGGACTGATGATGTTTGTAATCAATGTTTAAATCATTTGATTTGTAAAACATACTGATTTTGATTTATTGGTTATGTAAACAGTGCTGAAATGTTTAGACAAATTTTACTTAAGTGTGTTTACAAAGTAAATAGATTAAACAATAAGCAAAACATAAGTGGTAGTTAATGTTTCTCTTCCTATGTAAAAAAAACAACAAAAAACCTCCTCAGATATTGAGCTTTTAAAAATAGAATACTCCCTTCTGAACATAGTTCAAGGGTGTGAATAGCCTTGCTATCAGACAGAGAGCATTGTAAAGTCAATTAAGGCAGATGGAGTCAGGTTAAAAGTAATACCTTATCATTTGATCTCCCCTTTGACCCATTTAAATTTTGTTTCAAAGTTTAATATTTTCTGCTTTCTTTTGATGAAATTTTTCTATTTGTTATCTAGTCGTTGTTATTGGGGTTTTGTTTGTTTTCGTTGTATGATTTTCTGTATATGAAATGCAGGATAGGTAAGCCTGTAGAGACAGTAAGTACAGGATAGTAAACCTATCGACAATAACAGTAATTACCTAGGGACTGGGGGAGGGGGGGAATGGGAGAAATGGGGAGCTAACAAGTAGGGAAAGAAGCAAATGTTCTGAAATGGATTGTGGTGATAATTGTACACCTCTTAATGTGGCTGAGCAATTAAATTATATTATATGTGAAGTGTATGCCAATAAAACCATTTAAAAAATCAAAATGGCAGCATGTACCCAAGGCAAGAGGGTTAGGAAAGGATGAGGAATAGAAACTGGAAACACAGGCTGGAAGTGGGGTGAAAGTTGAGACATTGAGGTGATGGAAATGGATGAGTCAGAGCAAACTGTGTGTTAATTGTTGAATATAAAGCTCATGATCTCTGTAAACGTTCACCTGAATCACAATAAAAAGTTAAAGAAATAAAATTTTAAATCATGTATAAACTGTTAAATAAATAAAAATAGAATACAACTCTGCACCTTCCCTACCATCATGCCTAGATAGCTGATTACTACCGAGAAAAGTCCCTCTTTGAACATTTCAATGTGATCTAAAGTCATGGGCTCCAGTCACATATGGCCCTCAACATTCCCAAGAAACTATTCCATAGATCCCTTTGCCCGCTTTATTATGCATTACCCCAGAAGTTCTCTATTCTCTCCTTAAACCTTTTCCCCCAACTCAGTCCTCAATGTCAACAGCATACAAGCTTCTTCTTCACTGGGAAACCAGGAACACCGGCAAACTCACCTGGGTCCCCGGCTCTGCTTCTTCCGCTTGGAGTCCATGGCAGACGAATTTCCTCTGCCAACGCAGCGATCTTCAGCCACCAGCCTCGGATCCCATTTTCTTCCAACGTACTCTGATCTTTGACTTTCCACCCTCCTGAATGTTCACCTTTTCCCTCTCTACTCATATTTGCCTCCAATGGTTCCATAGGCTCACGTCTCCAAACTCTACAAAAGAAAGCAATACATGAGGCTATGGTTGTGGATATAGAATTCTTAGTCCGATTTGCTCCTGCAGCTAACTAGCATCAACTCCCCTCCTCCTTAGAGTCAAATATCTTCATAAAATAATCGGTGCTAACCAATTGCTTACTTTTTAATCACCTGTCAACTCTGGCCTCCACAGCTCCACCCACACTGGTCACTTCCTTATCACAAAAGCCAACACTTTCTGCTCCTCCTCCAACCCAGGCTCTCCCTAACATTTGGCCCTGTTTACCCCTCCCTGTTTCTAGATGCCTGCCTTCCATGTTCTGCTGTGACCATACTCCAATTTCTGTCCATTTCTTAAGCGATGGTTTTCCTTAAGATACCACCCTCTGAGTTCTTCTATCCTGACTTCCACATTTTACTCTCCAGCCAGGATATGTGCCCTAACCCTCAGACAAGTACAGAGATGTTCTACTTTATATCCAACGTGTTAAATTATAAAATTATCACTTTTTTCTTCCTCAAATTTCTTGTCCTTCCCCCCATCTCTTTGTCTGTACCTGGAACGTGCCTGATGCCCAAACCAACCACTAGCCATGAACCCTGATCCTTCCCTCTCTCAGGCATCCATCTCTTTCCATCCAGCCTAACACCAACGACTACTCTCTCAACTCAGTTTCGAAAAAGCCTCTACTGGCCCCAGTGGCCTCCAGTTTTTCCTCCCTGACTTCCTTGTCATAGTGACCTACCTCACTGAACCTCACAGCCGAAAACCATTACGGGCTCCCTGTGGACCTCAGAATGAACTTCATCTTTCTTAGTGTGCAAGGTCTTTCACGAACCAGCTCTCTGGTGTCCGTTGCTTCATGTTTTATCGTCCACAAGAATGCAGAAGTCTCGGGAAAAGCTCCACTCATTAAACCGAAAGTCAACCCACTGCCATCAAGTCCACTTGGGCTCACAGTGACCCTGTAGAGCAGTGGTTCTCAGCCTGTGGGTCGCACGTGACCCCTCTGGGGTCAAACAACGCGCTCACAGGGGTAGCCCGATTCACAGCAGTAGCACAATTACAGTTATGAAGTAGCAATGCAAATAATGTTATGGTTGGGGGATCACTACAACAGGAGGAACTGTATTAGAAAGTCGAGTCATTAGGAAAGTTGAGAACCACTGCTGTAGAGGGTCTTCAAGTCTGTAAATCTTTACCGGGGCAGGTAACTCCAACTTTTCTTTCACATAGCAACTGGTGGGTTTGAACTTACAGCTTTGATAGCAGTCCAACCTTGACTCAACATCACCATTCACTGAGGAAAAATGCTCCCTCTTGTGTAGGAGTGGGGGTGGGAGACAAGGGGAGAAGGCATGACATTACAATCAAAACTTACCAGGGCCAAGAACATTGTTCTTGGATCCAGCTGAGGTCGGTCAGAACCTGTATTGGTCTGTGAATCATTTTGCTCTGGATCCAGCTGAAATGGAAAAATCCTAACTGACACTCATCAAATCAATTAATCAAAGTCGAGGAAGCCATAGAGTAAAGGCTGGGGTGGGGCAAGGAGCGACTCTAAGAAAGTGAATGTGTGCTAGGAGGTGAGAAGCAATGAGTATCTGTGATTAGAATGGTAGGCACTGGGTCCGAGTTCAAATCCAATCTCTCGCTTTAATAGCTACACGTGACCTTGAATACATTACTTAACCAGGCTGTGCCTCATTGTTGTCATCTATGATCCCGAGATAATAATTGTGCCTATCTCACTTAGATCAATGTCCGGTGTAGAGCAAGGGTTCAACATATGTAAGTTATCAGACGATGCTGTAACATATGAGGCTATCATACAAACTAATTAAAACTTGGGCACATTCCAGGGCTTCTTACATCATCTTGAAAAAGCAGGTAGGGTTTGAGTTGGTTTTCTTGTGGCCATTAATTAAAAGGCTCCTTCCGATCGGCTGCATTCACTTTTCTCCACGAACACATGTATTTAGGAGATGGCGGCTAGGAAAACATGGGATAGCAAGCCTAGTAGTTCCCCTGTCCCAAGGTAGTGTATGGAAATTTTAACCAAATTGGAGAGAGCAGGGATGTTCTGGATAGTCTGCACTATGCCCTGAGACTATTTGCATACTGCTTGCTTCATTGTTGACATTAGAGACGTGGGGAAACCCGCCTGCCAGGGCCCCCAGTGAGAACAGAGCTGGAGTATACAGGCAAGAAAGTTGTGACTTAGTCCAGGTGCCCACAAAGCTCGTTGGAGAACCAACTTCATTTGCTCATCTTGCCAAAACCTGCAGGGATCTCAAATCTCTACTCAGACTTTGGAAATTGTTCAACGGCCACAATGAGGCAACCATCTCACCCTAGGCTGGTTGAGAGGCCAGTGTGAATAAACCCTGATCGCCACCTGAAGTTCTCTTGAACAGACATGCAAAGGAGTTTGCTGTGTAGCCTTTTGGATTACTGTCTTCCACTTAAGACTTCTGAACCTCTCATCCTCGGGGCTAGAGTAAGTGCTTGTGGAAAAGGGGGTGGAGAAAGCACTTGGACAGGTAGCTGAGGCCCCGGGGACCTGGCTGGGTGCTCCTGTGGTGGACGGTTTCCCTTCTTGCCTTGATTACATTCATTCATTCATTCATTGAATCAACGGTCTCCCCACAAATGACTACGATTTCCACAGGGGCAGACTCCATGTCACTCACAGCACACCTGGCACACAGCAATTGCACTCTGAAGACTGAATAAATGGCAGTGGGCACATGAACTAAGAAATCCTGACAGGGGACTTCCCTCCTGTGGTTCCATACCCGCTTGCCAGTGCCAAGCAGGAGTCTGGGCAAGAAGCCAACATCCAGAGAGCTGCAGAGAGCCAGAATCGGGCCAAGGTTGGAAGGTCTCTGAGCCCGAGTGGAGATAAGGGTGCCAAGGTCACAAGAACACTGTTAGCGAGCACGGAGTGAATGTTTACTCCGTAACCAGCCCCAGACTGGCCTCTGCACAGGTTGTTCCATGCAAGCCCTGCCCCATCTCTGAATTTAAGAGTTGTGACCTTCCATTGTATAGATGGGGGAATGTGGCCATGGGAAGTTAAGCCTTATGGGCAGCCAATAGAGAGCCAGCTTCTAAACACAGGCCGGGCACATGCCCTGTACAACTGAACTAGCTGTGTTAGTCTGGGTAAACTAGGGAAACAAATCCACAGAAACTCATATGTATACGAGAGTTTTATGTAAAGGGTAAGTGCACATCAAGAAAGCATCCCAACCCAGTGCTGTCCAAGCCCATAAGTCCAACATTAGCCCCACAGCCTCCTCACCCCCATTGTGAATACAGAGCCAAGGAGACATGGGTTCCAGGTTGATCTGTTTATTGACAAATCAAATAAAAAAAGGAAGAAAAAAAGTCACTTAAAAGAGGGTATGAGATCCTAACTGTGCTTAACGGGGGCTGAATACAGCACTGGGGAAGGAGGGTGAGCGGACAGCACCTTTCGCAGAAAGAGGAGGGAGGAAGAGGAAGGAAAACCAGAGGTTACCATGCTCCAAGCTCACCTTCCAAGCTTGTGGCCAGCAAGGACAAGAGTCAGAATGGTTTGAGGGCAGCACCTTGGGAGCCTGTCTGAAAGATCTGAGAGCCGGAGGCAGAGTGGGGACAGGCTCTTGAGGAATTCTCTAGCACTAGAATGCTGTTTGTGGTGACCTGCAAGTTGGGGAGCTTAATCCTGGTCCTAGCCCGGTCTTGAACTAGTTGCATGACTTTGGGCAAATCACTGACCCTCTTCTCGGCTATCCAGTGAGCCAGGAGACCTTGCTGGCAGGTTCGGCTACAGCTCCAGCACTCTGCACCCCCAAGCATGGCCCTCTAAGTGGGGGGCCGAGGACGGACATGAGGGACTTCCGGAGACCTAGGACTCCTGAGAGACCCGGCCAAGGGGAGTGGGCGCTGGCCTTCACCTGGAGTCCACCCGTCAGCAGCAGTAGCAGCAACTCAGAGCAGTGACTGTGTGCACACCATGCAGGTGGCACCCACACCGCGCGTGTGAAATTCTCTCTCGACGCCAGAGTGGCCTGAGCCAAGAGAGACCGAGGTTAGCGCCGGCTTGGCTGAGTGGAAGGGCAGGGCCAGAGGACAAGGGTGGTCTGAAAAATCGAGCACGCACAGTGAAGGGTCTGGGGATCCAGGGGTCAGCGAGGCAGGTGGAGCAGAGGACCGGGGGCTTTGTTCGCATTGGGATAGGGAGGGACAGGGAGGTAGAGTCACGCCGCATGCCAGTGTGTGCCAGTCCATTCGTTTCTGAGCTCCTCTCCTCCCCCAATCAGAGCCCTGGCCCCTTAACCAGTTGAAGCAGCTCTTCTGGTGAAGATGCCACAATTGGCATCAAGATCCTTGATCCGTGCGGAGCGGACACCATGGTGGCATCTCCACGGTGAAGTAAGATGAGGTAGGCTGGGCCCGGGCTCCCTTTCTCCTGGCCAGGATGACATGAGGGGCCACTCCTCCCACCCTTGCTCAAAGCCACTGCCCTTCTTTGACAGCTGGGAGGGCCTGGCCTGCCCTGAGAAGGCACCCAGGAAGCCAAGGAGACCGCCTGCCCAATCAGTCAGCTGTACAGTGCCAAGGGCAAAAGGTCCCCAGGGACCAGGAGGGAGGGAGGGAGGAGTCCGTATTCAGGGTTTGTTTAGGAGAAAAATGTCATTCCGTTTCTGGGGACTGCACAAGGCCACACTGTGGCCTGGCAAAGACGGCCTGGAGACAAAACGTGAATGCATGCGTGTACACAGTGCAATTGCATGTGGGGGAACGGGACTAACCTAGACCTAGCTCTACAAGGGGATTTCAGGCTAAAACCATCAAGAGCCCGCATCGGACAGCCTTCGGCTGATACTCTAAAGACCTCAAACTGCGGGCGGGGGTCCTTGTGGACACAGGTCCCTGGTTCAAAGCAGCAAAGCTTTTATGAAGCAATTTCTCTACGAAAGGCACAAGTGTGAGAACAATGTGGGGGTTGAGGGGGACCTAGCAGCAGACACCCAGGAGCCCTGGGGCAGAGGGGGCCCCACCACGCCACACCCCAGCTCACTGGTCCAATGTCTGGATGGGCAGAGCAAGGCCACTCTTGGCAAAGGGCTTCATCAGACTGCTGGGATAGATGCAGCCCAGCTTCTCTGGGGTGGGGAAGCCCCACACCCTGTAGAAAGACAAGCCCAGCCGGTCCCCAATATAGAAGGGGCCCACCCACTTGGCACTAGTGCCATTCCTGGGGAGGGACAGCAAGAGGACCTGGTCCCCCACGCTCCACTCCTTCTCCCGGATCTCTTTCTTAAAGCGCCTGTTTTCCGCCTTCTCGGACGCCTTCTCGGCCATCCTCCAGTGCCGCTCCAGCAGCTCCCCCCACAGCTGGCCCAGGAAGATGTCCATCTTGAGGCCCTCGATGTTGGCGCTGCTCATCTCCCACCACAGGGGCTCAGTCAGCTTCGCCTCCTCCCCGGTCAGGATCTGGAAAGGCGTGGCCTCTGTGGACGAGGCCCTGAAGGCCAGGTGCAGCAAGGGGAGGGAGGCCGCCCACTTCTTTCCGTGCAGGAAAATGAACTCCTTCAGGGCCCTCTTGAATTCCCAGTAGACCGCAGAGCTTGTCAGGCATGGGAACTGGAGGGTCTTGTTCAGGAAGGTTGCCTGGGCCCCCAGGGCCAGGCCGCAGCTCATGAGGACATGCCGGGCAAACTGGGAGCCCTGGGTGGCCTCCAGCTTAATGGGGACCCCCCACCTGGCAAACACATGCTGCAGCAGCACCTGGGCCACCGCCATGTGCGTGTAGGGCTTCAGAGGGAACGCCTCCACCCACCTGGTATTGGGGTCGGCCACAATCAGCACGTGCTTGTGACCCTCCTCGCTGACGGTGATGGGGCCCACCACCTCAATCTGCAGGTTTGACCAGGGGGCAGTTGACCTGATGGGCCACGGGGACTCAATGGCCTTCAACTCATGGCCGAGCAGGCTCTTGGGGCCGCAGAACAAACAGCTCCTGCAGTACTCTCTCACGTGCTCCTGCATCCCGGGCCACCACCCCAGCAGTCGCAACTTTCTGAGGGTCTCCTCTGGGCTCTGGTGAGCCCCCATGGGAAGGTCATGCACGGAGAAGATCAGGTCCCTCCGGAGCTGCCTCGGCACCACCCAGACCCTGGACCTCTTGTCCCCCTTGAACAGAAGCAGCCCACTCTCCTTGTCCAGGCTCAGGGAGTGGGAGGCAGAGGCGAAGGGGGAGGAGTTGGGTAGTTTCTGCCCGGCCTGCAGCTTGGCCATGATGTCTGCCAGGGTGTTGTCGCCCAGCTGCAGGGCCAGCAGGTTGGGCCTCTTGCCCCTGCTGTGGGGAGACACCGCAGGGGCTGGCACATCCTCTGGCCACCGCCACGGCTGCCCGCCCCCCTGAGCACCCCGCTGGGCCAGCGTGTCCACGGTCACGGCAAAAAGGGAGCCCCGGTAGGAGGTTCGGTAGAGAAACGGGAGGGCCGGGAGGCTGGAGGTGAGGGACATGATGTAGGCGAGCAGGTCTGGGTGAGGGAGGGGAGCCCCGTCGGAGGAGAGGAACCCCCGAGCCCGCCAGAGGGGCAGGAGCTCCCAGAGGAGGCTGAAGAGCCAGTGGCAGTGGGTCAGGAAGACCACCGGGAAGCTGGACTGGCCAAAGCGCTCCAAGCCACAGGCCACGGCTGCCAGGTGGGCATGGGTGGCGGTGTGAAGGGAGCAGGAGAAAGAGAGGGCGACGGGGGCCCTGGTGGGTGACAGCACGTACAGGCCAAAGCCAGCGCACCACTCGTCCTCCCGGTAAAAGCAGGAGCCGGACACGTGGATGCAGACGAAGGTGGACAGGTCAGAGGAAGGAGGCAGCGCCTGGAAAACGCGCGGCACGTCAGCCGGGGCCGTCAGCAGGCGGTTCTCCCCCAGCAGGCCCTGGAGCAGCATCAGCTCCAGACTCCTCTTCCCCTTGTCCTGCACCAGCAGGGACCAGCGGACCAGCCAGGCTTTGGAAGCCCGGTGGCCCTGGCCGGCCTCGGGGTCCACAGTGGTCCGGGAGGCGTAGGAAAGGTCCAGGACCACGGGGACATCCCCGATGTAGCGGGAGAAGTGCTTGAGGGTCCAGGCCACCGCGTAGGGGCTGTCTCCCCCCACCTGGGGGCCCTCACTGTCCTCGTCCGGGAGCAGGGGTTTCGAGGTATAGGTGACGGGCTGCTTCCTCCCCGAGTGCTCCTGAGAGAGGATGGCCGTCAGCGCCACCTGGCTCACCATCACCTCCAGGCGGAAAGGCAGCTGGGGGTCGGGGGCTGCGAGGCACAGGGCGGACACCAGCGCGCGCTTCAGGGCCAGGAAGGCCTTCTCGTGCCCCTGCCCCCACTGCCAGTCTGGCTTCTGCTGGAGGAGGCTGCGCAGGGGGCCCACCAGGCCTTCGTAGTCAGGAATGGCCTCCCGGTGAGAGTCCATGAACCCCACAAAGAAGGAGAGTGAGGTGAAGTTGCTGGGAACCGTCAGCTGGGCCAGGTGGGCCAGAACCTCCTGGCAGGGGGCCTTCCCATCCCAGGGGGTGCCCAGGTAGGGAGACGCCACCCCCGGCAGGAGATCGATGTCCAGGGCCCCTCCCGGAGGATCCTGCAGGCTGAGGCACCGAAGGATCTCCTCTGTCAGGGAGGGGCACTCAACTCCAAACACTGACGCCAAGGTAACGTCAATCTCTTGGTCCTCGGCCCACGCCTGAGTCCCCTGTGCCTCTCTCTGCTCCTCTTCCTGCACCTCATGCTCCACTGTGCCTCCTTCTACCTGCTGCTGCTGCTGCTGCTGCTGCGGCGGCGGGCTCTCCACAGGCGCGGGGTTGTCGTCCTCCTCATCTCCCAACTCAGCCACGCTGGTGGAGCTGGGAGGAAGAGTCTTCCATACCTTCAGGAAGTTGCCGATGTCGGCGTCCAGCCTGCAGGCGAGGAGCAGAGTGGAGTGATTGGGGGTCTTGGTGGGAAGAGGAAGGAGAGGCAGCCAGCCCTACCCTGAGGAGCGGGGAAACCTCATCTGGAGAAACCCCCGCAGAAGCACAGCGATCCCTAAGCCGCCCCAGGTGGTAGCCATCAGTTAGGCTACCACCCACAATCTCCTCCACTGCCCCCCGCATGTGCCGGGGCCTAGATGTTCAAATGCAGGCCTTGGTGGTTTATCACATCTAAGCCTTGCTGCCAGATAACACTGAAGCCGCTATGGAACCTCTGGTCCGGCAAGCAGCAGCTTCCAATCCTGTAATCCGATCACAGGATGAGGCAAACCTCATCCACATCTGTTTCTTCCTCCCCAGCAAAATGGGCCTGGGGGCCATGGTCCGGGGAGCAGACCCCTACTGAGAAGGTCCTGCCTGCAGCCCCCTGCTGGGCCTAAGAAACTGGAAGGGTGACAGCCCAGTGGTTCAATGGGGACAGAGGCCGGAGGAGCTTCATTTTGCCAGCACTAGCAAAGGGACCTTGGAAACGTCCGTTGAGTGTTAGCTTCCTCGTGGGTAAAGTGAGAGGAGCGGTCGTTTTGATGGTTCTAACTCAAGTTGTGGGGATCGAGTGGGATAAGAATGCATGTGAGATTACTAGACAGACGGCCCCTTCGTCCTTACACAGTGAAGCCGGGAGGAGGCTGGTGGCTGCAGCCTGGGTACCAAATGGATAAAACAGAAACCGGCTGTGTGGCCCTCAACAGAAGAACGGATTAAACACACCGGGTGTCCACGTAAGGGAACTGCACCCAGTCACGACACTGAGCCACAAAACTCACGTGACACACATCTGGGAAACTAAGAAAACGGGCGAGCAGAGGTAAGTGGCAGAGGATGCCTGTAGTATATCAGATGTACCATCTCAACCCTGCAAAGCCATAGTGTAGGTGGTCTACGGATATATAAATATCAGGTAAAAGTGCAAAGGGGGAAAAAAAAGAGCTGATACCAAGGGCTCATGTAGAAAGCAAATGTGTACCAAGGCGAGAATCAGGCCAACCCCTCTGCTCATGACCAAGCTCGGGACAAACGTGGGCTAGCACTAACGGGACGTTCCCATCAGCCCCAGGACAGAGAGGCAGGGAAGGAAGGGCTGGCCCATTACCTGCTTGGCTTCTTCAGAAACTCTTCCAAGGTGGGGCCGTCACGGCCCAAGGGGTCATCGGGTACCATGAAGAGATTCCCAGCAAAGGTGAAGGGCAGCAGCCTGAGCCCCAGAGAGAAGAGAGGGGGCTGTAAAGGGGCCCTTGACCCGCCCACACTCCATTGCCACCTGGGTGACCCGACAGCCAAACGGGAGTGGAGACTCACATCTCCTCCCAGAGGACATGAGGGGGAGCACTGCAAGCCCCTCTCTTGGCCCCGGTATTTCCCCTGCCCAGGGGCTGCCTGACCCTCAAGGAGAAGGAGCAGAACAGCCCCTGGGAGTCACCTCACCGATTTTTAACCAGAAGTTTCTTGGAATTCGTCATCAGCACGTGGAGCTGCTCGTTGGTGACGATGATGCCGTCTGTCTCCTCGGCCAGCTTGATCATGAATCTGCAGGGAGAAAGGAAGGCATTTGTGCCCAGGAACCAGCCCCTCACTCCCCAAGGCTGTGAGAAGACTTCCAAGCGTTCTTTTAAAAAGCGCAGCCTCTAAGCAGAAAGAAAACATTTTGGAATGATGAGTTCACATGGGCTTGATACAATCTATGTACGGATTGTTATAGATAGAGCTGTAAGGGCCCCCCCAAAAAAATTATTTTAAAAGAATGCAGCCTCGCATTGAGGGGACAAGAACATTCCCCTTTCTGGTCAGGAAGCCTAAGAAGCCATCCCCGCCTCTCTGCGGCCATCTGAGATTCCTCAACTTCCCATCTGTTTACCCAGCAGCCACCCTGGGGGACTCAGATGCACACATACCCAGATGCACACATGCACATACAAAGGCACTCCCCTTACAGATGTACAAACAAAACGACGCATTTGTCCACATCCACACACACACACACACACTGTTCGGTGATCACACCTGTAAACTGCAGATAAAACACTGACCCTGTGATTGTGAAAATGAAACTGAGCGAGACCATGCCCTTCAGTGTCTCGTGCGATGTCTGCCACCCAGTATACACATCAATCAGAGTGTTATTCTGCACCGGTGCACAGCATCTATAGACAAATGTATGCCTTACAACACATACACAAGCAGGTGCTTGGACAAACACCTGTATTTTCTCTGAGATCACCACTTCTCTGAAGAGGGGTATGACCAGAGAGAAAGCCAAGATGAAGGGCTCTGGGCTTCCTGAAACTGTCCAATCCCACTACCGCCACATGCAATTCCACAAGTGCCCAGCAAAAGGGCCTCTGTAGAAACGCTGTCTTGCCTCAACCCCAGGCCCGCACTGGCGGTATACAGGGTGATACCATTGGCCTTTTAACCGCAAAGTCAGCAGTTCAAAACCACCAGCCACGGTGCAGGACAAAGACGAGGCTTTGTCCTCCCATAAGGAGCTACAGTCTTGGAAACCCACAGGGGCAGTTCTACCCTATCCGATAGGGCCGCTATGAGTCGGTGTTGACTCAGTGGCAGTGAGTATGGTTTGGGAGTTTAAACTCTTTACCCTGGCACATGCTTGACAGGTCTAGCTGGGCAGTTCAAGCCCAACAGTGGCTCCCCGGGAGAAAGCCCAGGCATCCTCCTTCAGTAAAGATGTACCGCCTGGGAATGTCATCGGGAAGTTCTACTCTGATCTGTCGGGTCAGTAGACATCAGAACTGACTCCGTGGAAGTGGGTTATGGGAGTCCTGACTGAGGACGGGGCGAAAACAGGGTGGATGCTGGGTCTTGGGAAGAGTGGAGAGAAGAGAGCCCTTCCTACCTGGGGTGGGAAATGCCTAAGGAAGGCTAAGACCACACTACTTGGCCCCCAGCATTGACTCCAGGGCCAGGGACTACTAGAGCAGGGATCTCCATGATGTCATCGTGGGAGGACCACAGCCTCCCCCAGATCTGAGGCAGGAGATGAAACCCAGTCCACTGGCTCGGCGGCCATGGAGGGGAGCAGGATTTTAGGACTGGCAAGCAGGGAGGCGTGTGGGATTCAGATAGAGGGCTGGGCCAGACTGACTCCAATTCCAGAGGCCAGCCCAGGGCCTCGAACCACATGCAGCCTTAGATCAACACCTCCGGCTAGGTCTGGCCAGAAGAGGGGACGGATGCAGCACCGTGAGACATTCACTTTACCCTAACTGATAGACTCCCCAGGCCAGGTGCGTGCGGTCCCCCTGATGCTCACTTGAAGCTCTGGAAGTCACCTCGGCCAGCCTGCCCCACAGCAGGTGGGTCTCCTCCACCCAACCGTCACAGGGGCAGGAAGACTGTCTGCTAAGGAAACAGAGCTCCAGCATCCCAATCAGGAATGACCCTTACTTGGACTTCTTCGTTGAGAGCCTACACTCCACCCATTCCTCTCTGGCCGTGATCCCCCTCTGAAGGACTCGCCTTCATCTCCCCCGGACACTGCAGCCCAGCCCGGCCTCCGGCCCTGCCGAGGGAGGGCTCGGCGGGCAGGCCCACCTGTAATCGTAGGTGGTGATCTTCTTGCCGTTCTCGATCTGGGAAGGGGTGATTGAAAGCATCCTGAGGGCATGCAGCTTCGACAGAAAGTGGCTCTCTGCAGGGAAAGGCGGCGGAGGGCAGATGGTCAGGGCCAGGGCTCCGGGGACAGGTGGAGGGCGGGGCAGACAGGTGGACCCTGGGCATGCTAGGCGGGGAGGGGCGGGGCTAGCTTACCTCTCACTTTCCGGTTTTTCCTCAGCTGCCAGGTGGGCACAAACACAGTCACCTCCCGGTGTCCCCGGTTCCAGAAATACTGCACGGCCATGGCTATGCCACGGCAGGAGAAGTAGTGCTGGAGGCCGTGCCTGTGTGGGAGCTGGGCGTGAGGGGCGGCCTCCTGCTGCACACCCCTCTGGGCGGGCCGACTGGGCAAAGACACCAACCACACCCAGCAAACGTCCCGTGAGCACCTCCTGCCAGACACTGCATGCGTGTGCACGTGTGTGTACGTAAGCATGTGTGCACACGTGTAGAGGAGGGGAAGAGGGCAACCTCCGTTGTGGAAGCGGGAGGCAAGCCGCAATCCTGATCACTTACTGAGCGCTGCCTGTTCATTTGCTAGGCACTCGTGTGCGCTCAGCACAGAAGCCTACCCAGTAGCAACCTGGTCGGCGTGGCCAATGAGCGAGCGCTTTGATGGGTGGGCGATCTCTGAGTCTGTGAGGGGTCAGGAAATGCTTCCTGGAAATCAGGCCATCCAGCCTAAAAGTTTGCCAGCTGGCCTGGGGCCTGAGCTTGAGAGATCCCGTGGAAAGAGCACGGGCCTCGGCACTGGACAGACCTGAACCCAAAGGCCAGCTGGCCCCTTACTGGCCCTGGTAGATTGGTCAAGACTCCTCACCTCCCAGAGCCCGTGTCTGCATCTACCGAGGAGGGAGGACAGAACCCTCCCTGGACAGGGCTGCTGTGAGGGTCGATGCACATGAGCCCCTTCCCTTCACATGGGGTCCTTATTGGAGCCCCATGCTTCCCGTGAACAGAGGCCAATGGAGACGCCCACATCCCATCTCCCAGGGACACCCTGCCCCAGATCCCCGGCCTACCCCAGCCCCGCCCATGGCTACTCACACCATGGCCACGCTGCTGCCGTCAATGACCACTCGCCGTAAGCCCTGGTCCCCAGGTTCCTGGGACAGGCTCAGCTCAAAGGGTGTATTCAGGGCCTCGTGGTACCGCTGGAAGCTGGTCACTGTGCCGTTGGCGTGCGGGTGTCGATGCGGCTGCTTCGGGGTCCCTTCCAGGGCCCCCAGGAGGCTCTCTGCCTGAGGATGGTGCTGACTGCTGGGGGTCAGGGTGGTGTCAGGCTGGACACCCTGCCTTCCAGCCTCCCCCTGGCCCCTTGCAGCAGCAGTGGCAGCGGCACTGCCCTTTGCCACAGGCTGGACTTCACTTGGGAGCTTGGCTCCACCCACCGTCACCCCTGAATCTTGGGGTGCCTGCTGAGCTGCCACCGTCTTGGGAGCTCTGGGGGCTTTCGAAACGGCAGGGGCGGCAGGGGCTTTGGAAGCTTTCGATCCTGTCTTGGCTACAGCTACAGCTGGAGCTTTGGACGTCTTGGAGCCGCCGGCGGGTGATGTTTTCACCAAGGGCATCGGTTGGGCTGTGGACGGTTGAGGGGCTGGGGGCCCCATTTGCACGGCAGGTGCTGGCTGACTCACAGCTACTTTCTGAGCTATGGGCGCCGCCTGGGCAGCTGGCTTGGCTGGAGCTGCAGGCACTTGGTGCGCTGCAGGTGCTGTGTGGGCCACCTGGCTGCTGGGAGCTAGAAGCGCTTCCGGAGCGGCAGGCAGCAGTTGCATTGTGGGTACCTTCTGAGCCAGGGGTAGAGCTGCAGCCACACACACTTGGAGAGTGTCAGGCCCTGTTTGAACGTAAGGTCCTGCCTGGGCTGTCAAGGCGAGGGGCATCTCTGGGGCTGAAGGCATGCTTTGCCCTGCGGATCCCATTGGAAAGGAACCTTCTTCGGGCCCCTGACGGTCCCCTTGCATGTTTCCTTGATCCCCCGCCTCACCTACAGCTTGGAGTTGAGGTGCACCGGGAGAGGGTGGCGCCCTCTGGGCCAGTCCTGGGCTAACTCTGTCCTTGGCCCCTGTGTCCCCTGGGGTCACCAATAAACTCATGGCTTTTTGTGGAAGTCTCTGGCCGCAGTCAGGCCTCCCCGGCTCTGGTCTGCAAGGTGGACTGCCCACGCTGGACCGAGGGAACAGCTCCTCAGGCTTCCATCCCAGGCCTAAAGGCAAAGGACCCTGCCTGGGAAGCTTGGACTGCACGGGGCCTCGAGGCTCTGCCCGAAGGAGGAGGAGGGGAAGCACACGGGACAGGGGCCAGCCTAGGTGGAGAGAGCGCAGCTCATGGTTGCTCCAGTAGCCACTGGCCACAAGGGCCTGAAGGGTGGCCCTGGGCCCCAGGCTTTTCAAGGCGGACACACACCCTGCGCTGATGATGGCGACAGAGAGGAGCGTGCGGCTGCCAAGCTCTGGGCCTGCCTTCGCCGAGACAAGGCTCTTGTGTGGCTTGAAGAAGCCTGGCGGCTGGTGGCTTGCCGGGGTCCTTCCTCACGCACGCTGTGCACACCATCTTGGTTGCTGGAACCGACCCTAGAGGAAGGGCAAGTTCATTGGGAAAGTCGGAAGGCAGCTCTTACTACTTCCCTGGGGCTGGGTGAACAGGGGCAAATGGAGAAAAGCCAGACCTATTCTTCCGAACTTAACTGTCCTAGCCGGGTTTCTGCCTCCTGCTGTTTGGTCTGGATGGGGATCTCCAAAGGGCCAAGGATGCCTGACACCAATGGTTCCCGGGGCCAGTTAACCTTGTCCAGTCCTCTAGGTCTCCACTGGGGAAGGTCTCCATCGCCAGTAAGGGCCCAGGACCCTCCCCCTTAGACCCCATGGCCAGGTCTCCCTTCGGCTGGTGGGGAGGGCAGAAAAGGAGTTCCAGGTTGGACAGGGTGTCTGAGATGCCTGCGTGGCCCGGCCACTGGATGATGTCCCACAGTGCCCCACATCAGGCTGAGCAGCAAAGGGCAGCTGCACCAGGTCCCCTGCCTACTGGTCGCCATAGCACCAGACTATGCCCATGTCACTCGGGCCTCCCTGATCCCCCTTGGGGCCAGCAGAGGGGCAGGGCCCCAGCACAGCTGCCCCACCAGCCCCTCCAGCCAGTTCTGGGTTGTGGTGAAGGATTCAGTCAGCCCCCTCACCATCAGACACTGGCAGGAGGAAGAGGCGCTGGGCCCTGAGGAAGGCACTGTGCAGGACCAGAAGGTAGCCAGCTCAGGGCTACCCAGGCTCAGAGAGGAAGTCAGCCCTGCGCTTGTGTGGAACGAGCTGTCCTTCCTCACCCACAGCACGCATCCCCACGCAGCATGTGCAGGGGGCCAGCCCCGCTCTCCTCCGCCCCGTTACCTCACACCCCCATGGCCTTCCAGGGCCCCCTCCACAGAGGGGAGAAGGCCCGCAGGGATGAGACACAGGAAAGCCTGCGTTCAGGATCAAGGGACCTGGTTCCCACGTGACCTCAAAAGATTTGGATCCGTGTGTGAGGGAAGCGTCATCCTCTGGGTCTCAGGCTCCACCGACCACCCACCCCACCACCCCTGTCAACTGGCAGACTGTGCTGGACGCTCTGCGTGTCCACTTCTTCTCCACCACTCTAGAGTTCCATCAGAGCCCAGGGGACGGGAGCTTGCCCCTTCTACACACTAGCCACTGGCCACAGATGCCCACGCACCCAAGCTGGAGGAAGACTGGATACTTTGGATTCTGGCTCTGCCACTTCCTGGTGACGTGACCCGGGGGTGGGGGTGGAGTGGGGGGTTATTTGTACTGCCTGTGTTGCACTGCCCCAACTGTTCAATGAGGAAGATGATCACTCCTGTCTTGGCACCTGTCGTTATGTAGCTTCGGTGCACAAATATCAGCGCCACTGCGCAGCAGCTGAAGAAGGTGCTTGGTAGCTTGCCCGAGGGCCTCTAGTGAGTGACCGGAGCAGCACCCCAGCCCCGGTCTGCCAATTCTGGAACCAGAGCCCCTCCCTCCCAGTGACCTCAGGGGCATCCTGTGGGATTCAGACCTAACCCTCCCCCGGAAGATCTTCAAGCACAGTCTGCGCCCATAACCACGGTAACTGCTGCCTAGAGAGGACAGAGGATGAGATGAGGTGCGGGGCCAGTGTCCAGGGGAACCCCACAGATAGGCGCAATGGTTGAAGGACCCAGGAGCAGGGCCTCTGATTTTCCAGCAAGGCCAAGGGCTCTCATTTAGAGAGCTAGTGCGCTCAGGGATCGGCCCTGCCCGGGGTAGGCTGACCTTGCGTTGCTCAGCTTTATAGTTTGAGTTCTACCACCACAGGGGCAGGAGCACCCTCCTCCTCATCAACTGAATGGCACGGTGGTGTGCACACTCGGGTCCCTCTCACATCCCTGTCTCCGACACCCATGCCCTCTTCCTTCTGCCCATTATGAAACCATGTGGGATCTCGAACATCCTTCCTGAAAAACACCAGTTTCTCCGCTCAGGCCTCAGCTCTGCTGAGAGCTAGGCCCACCTCCTCCGCCCGCACCCACCTCCTCCCCAAATAGCCTGGAACCTGCCCAGACACTTAGGCTCAGGTCTAACCTCTTTCAGTCCCAAACCAGACCCAAAACGAAGGGGCAGCCACTGTACCTGGATGGGACCTCAGCTCACCCCACTGCCCTGCATCTGACTAGGCACCCAATGATGCTCACACTACTCAGCTGCTCGCCACCTTCCAACTCCATGGAGACAATATGTCAAAGGACCAGGCGTGTCGGGGAAGAAAATGACAGGTGTTTTCTTTCTCCTTCTGCAAAGTGCTTAAAACCTCTGTCGTGACAGCAACTGCTCAGTATTTCCCGGTTGAAAGGTACTATGTTACTGTTGGTTGTCCGCAAGTCGGTGCTGCCTGCCAAACCTGGCCCAAACATGGAACAAAGCACAGCCCCGTTGCACACCATCGTCACACTCTTCGGTGCGTCTGAGTCCATTTGACAGAGAAGTTTCAACATGTGAAGGTCTGAACTCCTACGTATTGAGTATTTCCTGTGTGCCAGGCCCCCTCTGCACATCATCTAATGGATTCCTTTCGCAGTCTTATGAGGACATTACTCTAATCCCCACTTTGGAGCAAGGGAAGGTACGTGTTCAAGGTCATACAGGTCGTGTAAGCAGGGATATTCAGGCACGCTGACTCCCAAGAGTGGGGTCTTACTCATGATGCTAAAGATGCCATACAGAAAGATAAGGGGCCATGGGCCTTTTCACCCCAGATATCATCTGGAGCAACTGTCCTACTTAGAGCGCACCCAGACCTTTACCAGAGCAGGTAGAGGAGGCAGTGACAAGTACACAGAGAGGCGGCCAAGGCGACACAAAAATAAGGCCAGGGAAAAAGCCACATAGTTCTAAGAACATATTGCCACTGTCCCAAGGCCCTTTGTCAACTTATAAATGAAATGAAAACAATAATGCAAAATAGTCTAAGACTCGCTAGATGCTTTATTGTGTCACACCTAGTTTAGGACTTTCCTTTCCCAAAAATTAGTTACCATGTATGCTCTGCCTTCCAGAACCCGCCCAGTGTACACTGCACAATACTCAAAAAGCCCAGACAATGGCAGCAGTACCAGCCGTAGAAGTGGGGGCAGTCCAAATCCAGCCCACCGCCAGTCAATCCCAGCTCATCGAGGCCCTAGATAACAGGAGAAACTGCTGCGTGGGGTTTCCGAGTCTGCAAATCTTCACAGGCACAGGCTGCCTCACCTTTGTCTGGCGAACAGCTGGCAGGTTTGAACCACCGCCCTTTCAGTTGGTTAGCAGACCAACACTTAACCCCCTGCACCCTAACAGACGGTGCCACCAAATCCATATGCGATCAAGCTCAACATCAAGAAGGCTTGCCCACCAAGCTAGCTACCAGTTGTCTGTCGTCCATTCTTACTTATGAAGAGACGAGCAAGAATCACCAGATACAGGAGGAAAACATCGAAGGGGACTATAAAGACAAAAACATACAGGTGAAAAACAGCATGAGGGCAAAGAAGCTAGGCAAGGATGAAAATGCCAAAGATGCCAAAACAAGTTTATGAATAGCATTCTCCTCCGAGCGATCATGGAGAAAACAAGAAGCCAACAAACCAAACCTGGGGCCATTGAACCTCAAAGAGACCCTTAGTAGAGTTTCGGCAGCTGTAAATCTTCACGGAGCAGAGAGCATCTTTCTCCTGCTGAGAGGCTACTGGATCTGAACTGCTTCTGTGGCAATTAGCAGCCGAATGCCTAGCCCACCATGCCACCAGGGACAGGATGCTTTTTTTTTTTTTTAAGAGAGAACCTAAAGGCGTTTAAACATTAAAAAAAAAAAAATGATGGCAGCAATGAAAGACAAAGAAAAGGATTAGCAGATAAAGCTGAGGAAATCTCCAGAAAGTAGAGCTAAAGGTCAAAGAGTTGGAAAACAGGAGGGGGAAAATAAGAAAATTACAACACCAGTCCAAAAAGCTGCTCTGAACAGAAATTCCGGAAAGAGAAGCCAGACGAAACATAGGGAAATAAATCATCCAGAAACTTGTTCCCAGATTTTTTTTCTATATATGAAAACAATGAATGTCCATCTAAGAGGGTCCACCCAAGACCATACACAATAGACAGAAACAGGTCCCCCACCCCACACACACAGGTGCACCTCCGGGAAGCCTCCGGACACAGAGGGGAATTAGATGTTCCCCTAAACAAAGGGCCGGAGCTCAAAGTCCAGGTCAGGATGCCTCACCATTTCTGAAAGAAAACACTTCCCTTTATACTTTATTGCTTCTATTTCATAAGTGTGTCTAAAACCCATCTATAAAATAATAAACACTTGTAAAGACATGCTGTCCACCAAGGGACCTTTAATATGCAAAGTCCTCCCATCGAACCTCCTATCAAACCTTTCCCGGATGTCACTAGACTAGAGAGCATCTTCCAGCCAGTCGAGGAAGGATGCTAAGAATGGAAGTCCAGCATAGGGAGAGCCGGGAACAGGACAGCATTGTTCACATCCAGACTCGGGCACTGGCCAGCTGGGGCTGCAAGCCTCAAGATTAGCAGTTGGAAAGTGCCAGCCAGTCCCTGGGGGAGAGACGGGGCTTTCCCTCTTGGGAACTCACAGGGGGAGTTCTCCCTTGCCCTAGAGCAGCGGTTCTCAATCTGTGGGTCACGACCCCTTTGGGAGTCGAGCCACCCTTTCACAGGGGTCGCCCAATTCATAACAGTAGCAAAATGACAGTGATGAAGTAGCTACGAAAATAATGTTATGGTTGGGAACCGTATGAAAGGGCCGCGGCGTTGAGAAGGTTGAGGACCACTGCCCTAGAGGGTCACGGCATGTCAGAATGGACTTGTTGGCAGTGAGCATTTTAATTTACTCTTGGCAGGCACTGGTCTAGGGTGGCAGTTATCACCAGGCCCACAGGACCACTCATTCAGATTAGGGATGACTCCAGAGACAAGCCTATGGAGAGCGGTTATAGAGGAAGCTACCGGTGACATACTCCAGCAACCCAGGCAGAAGACGACCTGCAGCCCAGGAAACAAGAGACAGAACAAAGAGAAAATGCGCAGGATGCCAAGCCTGAGGGCAAACTGAAGCCTCAGAATGATAGCCATGCAGGCCGAGGAAGCAACTGAGCAAGAAGGAGGGAGGTCTTGAAAACACACCTCGAACCACCTTGTAGGAAGGAAAGGATGCTCAGAGGCTACCAGAAGTGCGAAGAATTAGCAAAGGTACCCAAAACCTCAAGCAAATTGAAAATGAAGAGTTGTTCGCCTTGGGAAAACCAAAAAAGTAAGAAAGCATCATGATCGTAGACGTCAATGCTTAGATGTAGTGGCGTGTGTAGGCATCAGAATGCAAATACTAAATAAAGACGAAGCAGAAAAGTAAAGTCTCGTTATATTGGGGCAGAGAGGGGAAAGAGCGGAAAGGGTCTAAGTCATCACCTATAAGAAGTACAGTAATGATATCTAAAAGAGACAATTACTCATTCACTGCCATCACATCAATGCTGACTCACAGAGACCCCCAGTGGGCTTCTGAGACTGGAGCTTGTTTATGGGAGTAGAGAGCCCAGTTTTTCCCTCGAGGAGCCATCGCTGGTTTTGAACTGCCGACCATGCAGATCGCAGCCCAACCCACAAGCACTACACCACCAGAGCAAGACAATAGTATATGCATATTTTTTCATAAATATAAAACTCACTGCCATTGAGTCATGCCTCATAGCGACACTAAAAGGGTCCCTCGCTCTCTCCTGCCCTCTTGTCTCCCATCTCCACATGGACCTCCAAGCAGGGCTGAGGTGAGCATGCTACCATGAAATGGTCTGACTCCTTTATTTTACTCTCTCTCTCCCATCTCTCCCATTTCTCTATGACTTTATTATAATCTTCATATATATTTTAACATTACAATGGCGCTTACTGAACCCGTGATAGGGTGAGGGGCTGGCTTCCCCCACAATCAACTACAACTAAGTGTAAGGAAAATAGCTAGGTGCCCACAACTAGCAGTGTGCTGGTCACTGCCTAAGGATCAGCTGAGCCGGGAAGGGGCCTGGTGTTCGGCGTGGCCAATTCCTATGGTGTCCGCTTTCAAGGGACCAGTAAAACTCCACTGGATGGCAAAATTGCTGCCATCTTCACAATGCACTGGGAGGAGCCAGTGCCAGCCACCACTGCCAACAGCCAATACAACTCCCACTACTCCTTGCTCCTTGGAGTAGAGCAACTTCCAAGTCAAGAGGCGGCAGGTCACACCCAGTGCCAGGGCTCCAGAAGCCACTTTCTCTGATGGTCACTTCCCCTGAGCTATCTTCCTCCATGGCCTCGTTAGAGAAGGGACAGCTACATATCACCTTTCCTCTCTGCTGCCCAGCTTACCCTCCACTGTTGCCCAGGAGGGCACAAGAGCGGAACATGGGTCACCCCTGGGTGCTTACGATCCCTAGTAAATGCCTCGTTTCCACTTGCTGATTTCACCTCAGGAGTGGCCGGCCTCCCCGGCCAGCGTTGCTTTTCGCTGCCTGCATATGTGATTCCCAGCCAGTTGCTCGTGTGTTCGTGGAGATTTTTCTGGCTAACCAGCCTCATAGAAACCACCTAGCCCTCCTCTACAGAGAAACCTGTATACTTTCTGGACCTGCACCCTAGGGCCCCCAGCTTCCCTCTTCTCCCCTGAGTCACCCTCCAGTCACTCTGCCAGCAGGTCACGATGAGAGTGCACCAGTCTATGTCCTTGCAGCTTGGACTGGGGTCAGCCAGGGCACCTCCACACAGAAACCACAGGCCATCCTTATTGTGGGCAGTTGCCATGTGTCAGATCACTGGTGCTCAGAGTGTGGCATCCAAGCCGCTCACTTTACAAACCAGGAGGCTCAAGAGAAACAAGGATTTGCTCACAATCATATCTCTGGTTAGCTCATCCCGACTCATCGTGAGAGCCTACAGGGCAGAGAAGGACTGCTCCCCAGATTTCCAAAGCTATACACCTTCATAGGAGCGGAAACTCTCACCTTTCTCTCCGGGGCCAGCTGGGGGGTTTGACCCACTGACGTTGTGGTTAGTAACCCAACGCCGTGAGGCTCACAGAGCAGCAATACTAAGCGACACTGACACACGGTGGCTCCGCACGCTGGGCCAACAGTATTTACTCAGACATGGTTCCCGCCGGCTTTCACAATCGCTTCAGGTGGGGGCTATTCCGAGCTTACGTTCTACCATTGGGGAAAAGAGGCTCAAGGGAGGAGACCGTATGTGAAAGTAGGCAGCCTTGTCCTGACCTCTACCCCCAAACTCTCTCCACCACACCTATCTGTCCAGGTGACAGCAAATCCAACCAGATCGCCTAGGCTCTGGACCGCTCAACGCCATCCTGCCCTCCTGCTCCGGTCTCAAACATCCTTCCTTTCTGCTTCTTCTG